CATCAGAAAAAATCCCTATGTTAGTTACTTCTCTTTCATTAATGTTTTCTACTTTTTTTAATAGAATTTTGCAGACTGATAATTTTTTCATTTTTATTCAAAATAGTTTTATATTTCACCCAAAGACTGCAGTTCTCCAACAGTGGCAGAGTAATATTTCATATCTTTCATCGACGGTGGCAGGTATTAAACAGTTTCTGTAATCGTATACATATAACTATTATTTTAGTATAAAAATGTGGGAAATATGAGAATATAAACACATTTTCAGGTTTGCTTTGCTAGTAGTTCATGATTCAAATTTGCTAACAAATTATTGACTTGTAAGACATAGTTATTGTTGTTATCACACTCAGCGGACATTTTACTAAAGATCTTCAAAATATTGCCAAATTGCCATTGCTAGGAAGGCTTTTTTGGTTTTAAAATAAAATAGCGATTGTTTATGACCCATGATAACAGCTTTTTGATAGCATTATCATATAAAATATTAGACAAAATTTATCTTTAATAACTTTTAAAAATAAAAAGTGAATAATTTACCAAAACCACAATGAACAAATATAATGACAGTAGTATGGATGAAATAAGTATAAAATATTGTTATTATTGTTAGTCGTAATGGTACTTGAGGGGCAAACTACAAGAACAATAAGAATGATACAATTTTCCAGCCTAAGAGTTTTTTATAACTCTAGCACATTTGTATTTATACATTTGAAGAAACAAGTATGCAGGAAATAAAATCATCAAAAGCTATTTATTTTTTAGTGAGTAATATTTGCATACTGGAATTTATGCAGTACAAATGTCGAATGAATCACATAAGTTTGAGTTTGGAATGAAAAAACAGAATCGGATGATAAAAACCGGTTGCATTTTGATGAAAATTTGAAAGCAAGAAATGTAAAGTGGTTCTCTAGAAAAGTTTTTTCTTCAGAAAGAAAATTTTAAAAAAGGAAATGCAGAAAAAGTAATACTTTGCTTAACTAAATATGTAAATTGTTTACCAGAGCGAGGAAAATTTAAGTTAGTGACATCGGAGTTCAAGAGTGAGTATAAAATAGTCAAGGAATGAAAGTGATTGATATGATTACTAAAATGATCCATTACTGTCGACAAATCTTCATTTTACTGATGCCACTGGTAGTGTCAGCTTCATCTATTAGGAAATCCGAAATACCGTGGGAATCCCAGAAATCTCAAGGTTTATCTTCATTTCCTTCTGTAAGTTTTATCTTCGTCATTTTCAGTTCCTCCATTAATTAATTCAGACTCTTACCACTGATTTACTGATTGGTCAATAATTTGCTGAAGAAAACTTATTGCGACCAAATGTGGATATTTTTATGTGACCAATTAATTGTAAATCATAATCATTCCAAAAAGCAAATACTAGTAATAGTGATAGTGATGAGGCGACTAATGATCTACTTTTTCACCTTACTTGCTGTTGATCAGTTAAGAGATATCTATTCAAATCTTGCATTACATGTTCATCTGACAAACTTCAAGCAAAGTGAGACCAGTTGTGTTTGAAAAAATCAACTATTGGAAAGCATTCTTTCCATCAGAAAACATCAGTTGGTTCCAGAAACCATTTCGAAAACAATTGAAATTTTGCCCACAGATTGAACCATTCATTACCTTAGTAGTTTCGATCCGCTTCCAAATACTGTCTTAGTTCGCTATTCATTTTAAAAATAACATTTGAAAATTGAAACCAATAAATAAGTTACAAATATCTGAAAAGTAAATTAAATTATGTGACAAAACTTACAGATACTTTATATTCTTGTTATTTTAATTTTTTTAACACTTAAAAACTTCATAATTTGATTAAGGCACCTCCACTTGAATTCCAAAGCATTCTTCCAGTAGAAACATTCGCTCAGCTTACAGCCATTCATCAGAATCAGTCATTAACAATACCGGTTTGTTCATCTAATTCATTTTTGAGATATTTTATTGAAACTCTGTTGATAGAAGAACTACTCATATGTTATTCAATATGGAGTGCAATTAATATTAATGTAGTAAAATCAACTGCAGCAAAAAATAGCAAAAATCGATGCAGTTATGAATGAATTACCGAGGGATATTCTGCAAAGATTACCACTTCCACCGATATACCGTACCCTTCCGAAAAATATTCAGGCACTGATCAAAAATATTCAGCTCGCAGAAAATATTTCTATACATGAAAAATGGCGAAAGATTAAGAATATTATCCAATCGCTGCCAGAAGATCAGCGTCGCATGTTTCCGCAAGAGTTGTTTGATTTTCCGCCGGTACTTTAAAAGCTATACAAATATTACGTGTAATTCCTTTATTGCTAATCCTGAATTTCATCTTTCTGGAATTAACTTTTTCATATTTGAGATTACGTAAAAGTAAAACTTTTTACATAACCAAATTTCATTATATGCGATTGTTGTTGATGATTGCGATATGATTTGAAGTAATAATTTTAATAGTGTAGAGAAATTAAGAGTAGTTTGACGTTAATTATAGTATACATCTGTTTGACTATTTAAATTGTGAACCAGATCTTTGAGCTATAAATCAATGTGTCCTTCCTTAAACTCATTATTATTAACCTGAAACAGTGTAAAACTTACTGTAAATGTCATGAAGAACATAAAACTTTTAGATGTAATCAAGAAATTGAATAATTGAGAAAAAAATGTAAAACTTAGGAGAGCTTAAAGTTGTTGAATATCTTCAGAAAATAGTTAATGCTTATCAGATTGCTAACCATGTCATACCAGTTTTCAAGAACGAATGTTTCTATTAATCTCAGTATGGATTAAAACTAAAGATTACTAAATTTCTACTACTAAATACAAATTCAAGACTTATTAAGTACAATTCAGTGGAGTAGAATTCTTAGAATAATAAATCACAAATTTGCAGGCACCTCCACCAAATCTCAAACATTTACTTCCAAAACACATTTGGAATCAGTTGATGAACATTCATCAGAATGATGCTCTTGACAACAGAGTAAGTTTCTTATCATTACTTTCACTTGCAGAAGACATGCATCAAATGAAATTTTGCTAACTAAAATTTAACTTTAGACTTATATTACTACTCAAATAATCTCAAATTCAGGCAAAAATCATCCAAATAAGCGAGATAATGAATGCTTTGCCGGATTCTATACGCCAAAAACTGAGTTCGCCACAATCTCTGACCCAAACAGGCTCACATTGATAATACTGCCCTACAGAACTCTTATCAGTCATCCGACATTCCTGCTAAAGATTACATTTCCTTCATTTCTTGCTTAAACTTTCAAAATTTAGATGAATTATCACTTTGAATACTATTTCCCTACTCAATATTTACTTAAGCTATCAAGCTTTTCAAAACTAAAGCTTTATAAAATTAATGCACAAAATAAAATCTTTCCATAAAATAAAGTTTCATACAATCATTGCATATAACAACTATTTTCTTGTCTATATGCATAAAATAATAGTCGTACAGTAAGAAAACTATTATGTATATCGATTCATATCTCGACTTACCTGTCATAGCACAAAATTTAATAAAAATGCTGAAGAAAAACCATCAAAGGCAAAACTCTGTTGAACAATCGTCGACAATTTATTGAAATCATTTTGGTGCTGGTATGAACAAAGCATTTAATTCCTTGTATCTCATCAATTTCAATAAAATTACACAATGGTGTCTTCAGGAAACATGCTTTCTGTATATCAAATTGATGCACATGATTTAAATAGCATAAAAGATTTAGATGAAAATCGGAAAATCCAGTTTCATTTCATTATTTTAAAAAATGGTCACATTATTGAAGCTGCTTTTCAATAATACATTTTGCTAATCACCTCTTCCTATAATGAATATAATAACATTCTAGGCATCTGACGCGAAATTATTATATGATTCTTGCTAATTTGATGAAATTGACGATATAAAACAGATTTTCTCCGTAATTTTAATGAAACATTTACTTCATTCTATAGGAATGCAGAATTACAAATAGATTTGGTTTTCGAAAAGTAATCTGAACTTAATTATCGAAATTTTCCAAATTTTCATGGAACGCGAATAAAACATGAAGCAGATTCACAAATTTTTTGATTTGAGCAGATTCACAAATTTTTTTACCAGAATAAAATTTAA